TGTGTGTGTGAAGAACATTTAAGATGTACTGTCAGCATATTTCAAATATACAGTACATTATTAACTATGATCACCATGCTGTACATTATCCTCCAGAACTTATTCATCTTTTAACTTCAAGTTTGTACCCTTTATCAAGTCCTCCATTTTCCCCAACTCCCAACCTCTGGCAACTTCTGTTCTGCTCTTTGTTTATTTCTACTTCCACATATTAGTGAGATCATGCAGTATTTGTCTTTCTGTGCTTGGCTTATTTCACTCAGCATAATTTCCTCTAATTTCATTCATGTTGTCACAAATGTCAGGCTTCCCTTCTTTTTAAAGCTTGAATAATGTTCGTGTGTGTGTGTGTGTGTGTGTGTGTGTGTGTGTGTGTGTGTGTGTTTCCACAGTTTCTTTATCTGTTCATCTGTCAAGGAACACGTAAGGTTGTTTCTATATCTTGGCTATAGTGAATAAATGCTGCAGTGAACACGAGAGTGCAGATGTCTCCTTGACATATGGATTTTATTTCCTTTCGATATACACCCAGAAGTGGGATTGCTGGAACATATGGTAGTTCTATTTCCATTTTTTGAGAAGCTGCCATACTGTTTTCCATAATAGTTATACTAATTTACAAGCCCAATAGCAGTGTACAAAGTTTTTTTTTTTCCTCCACATCTTCACCAGTGTACTTTTAATCATTGGACTTGTTTTTGATCATAGCCCTTCTACCTGGCCATTATTTTGTTGAACTCTGCTGTGTCCATGTGGCTCTTTGAGTCATGGCCTCCATGTTTCCTAGCTTTGACCCCCTCTCTTACCTTGGGGAGGTGAATCTCCTCTCTCTCTCTCTAATTTATTTTCTTAATAAAGTATATTTTCCAATCTAAAAAAACGCCCTTCTACCTGGTACATAGTGATAACTCATTGTGGTTTTGATTTGAAGTTTCCTGATGATTAGTGATGTTGAGTACCTTCTTATATACCTCTTAGCTATTTGTATCTCTTCTTTGGAAAAATGTCTATTTAGGTCCTTTGTACATTTTTCAATTGGGTTATCATTATTATTATCATTATTACTATTCTTATTTTTTCTGTTGAGTTGTATAAATTTCTTATGTGCTTTATTAGCCCCCATCAGATATATGGCTTACAAATATTTTCTCCCATTCCAAAGGTTTTTTTCCCTTTTTTTTTTTTTTTTTTTTTGAGTTGGAGTCTCACTCTGTTGCCCAGACTGGAGTGCAGTGGCATGCTCCTGGCCACCACAACCTCGACCTTCTGTGCTCTGACGGTCCTTCCGCTTCAGCCTTTCAAGTAGCTGGAACTACAGGTGCATGCTACCACACCTGGCTAATTTTTTATTTATTGTAGGGAGAAGGTCTTGCCAAGTTGCCCGGGTGGGTCTTGAACACACAGGCTCAGGCAATCCACAAACCTCAGTCTCTCAAAGTGCTGGGATTACGGGCTGAGCCACCAAGCCCAGCCTGGTTTTCCCCCCTTTTGTTGATTGTTTCCTTTGCTGTGCAGAAACTTTTTACTTTGATGTAGTCCCATTCATTTATTTTTGATTTTGTTGCCTGTGTTTTTGGTGTTATATCCAAAAAGTCTTCACCAAGACCAATGTCAAGGGACATTTCCCATATGTTTTCTAAGAGCAGATTTTGATAAGAAGAAAGAAATGGCAGGAAATGCTGAGAGGCAGCAGGACCCTTACACTATCCAAGACTACTTTAATAGTGTTTGTCTATAAAGTGAGAACCACCAGAGATTTTCTAACATATGCCTCAAATCTGTAGTGTGGATATGGATTGGAGAATCTATAGTGCTCCAACATCGTCGTGGGGAGAGAAGTCTGACATTTCCCTAAGGATTAAGTAATATTATTTGATAAAGCATAAAGTGCTGTTTGTATTGAGCTTCTCTAAGAGGATAGTTTGGATTTGTTACCGTTTTGGATCCATGATAAAATAAATGCAGGGGTAGGGAGGCTCTGTTGTATCTTGAGTAGAGGTGAATTTACTGTGAAACAATGGCTCTTGAACTTCAGAGCCTCTCACTTGCATAAACTCTAGTCATGTGTTTACAAGATCGTTGTAAAATTTGCAGAAGTAAAACATTTTAACCACAATTGTTTAAGACCATTGATTAATATCACTACATCTATCCACTCCCACTTCCCTTGGTATTAGGTGGAATGACTGCGGGCATCTTTGAATCCAGCTAAATAGAAGTTGAATTGAGGATACATTTGGATTAGAAGGATATGTTCATGTTCACAGTCACTTCTGTATGGAGTTAAATTACTACTAAGCTGTCCTGAGGTAGCAGCGTCTCCCAGGAATATAACTAGTCTTCTGTGCTGACTCAACTGGCATTAGGACAGGACCTCATCAACAAACCTAAGCATTAGGTCCTACAAAACTTGGACCTACCCCTTCACTGGACATAGTTCTCAGGTCATCTAGAGTCTGTGCAAACCTGTGAACACCCAACTTGACATTCTGAGGAGGAGAATGGTGGTGGAGGATCCATTGATCTGCCCTACACGGTACTGTCCAGGTCAACAACAATGAAAGAGACCCATTCTGGGGAAACTTTTGACCTACTCTTACACTATTATTTGAACTACAGTCTAGTTGAGAGGATTTTTGCTTTTTACAAGGGAAAAAAATACATCACATATTTTTTTTTCACTTGCTATATATCCTCTGCTTTTACTGCCATGTCTATAGAGTGAAAAGTGACATGAGTGAGTTAACTTGGTCCTTGGTCTGTATGAATTCCTAATTTAACCCTTACTACAACCATTCATTTAGTTCATTATGAAGAGTTACTCTTTTGGCCTAATATATTTGTTGTTGTTTAAAAAATATTTTTACTGGAAACAAAAATATTGTATTGTAAAAATATAAACGCTTTCATAAATGCTTAATGTAGAAAACAAAAGTTCTTCATAATAGAATTACTGCTGTTTATTGTAAATTCTTACCTTTTTTGGCATACTATGTATGCATATTGTATTTAACTTATTTTAAAGCATTTTATGACAAAAGTGGATAATATTCATATTGCTTTGAAACTTTTTTTAACCTAATGGTACATCTAGGCTATCTTTCTGTATTATTTTTAAAGTCCTTTAATACAGCATGGTGGGGGGGAGTCTGGTAATCCCATTAACGTAGTCAATCAATTCCTAACAGTTGTGTTTTTATCTTTTTTTAGCTATAAAAATGGCACTATAACAAGCATTCTTGTGCATATATCTTTGCACACTTTGGGATTTTTTTCCCCTTACAATATAAATTTCTAGCTATGGAATTACAGGATCAAAATGTTCATAGATGTTTTCAAATTACCATCTAAATAATTGTACCAATTTATAGGCTAACCAATAATGATTTATCTCCAGTCTTGTCAACTCAGTATTATCAATTACTTTAATTTTTGCCAATCCGAAAATAGAAGCTAAGAGTTCCTTTAATTTTATTCACTTAATAGTGAAATTGAGTATCTTTTTTTTTTTTGAGTTGGAGTCTCACTCTGTCGCCCACACTGGAGTGCAGTGCCCACTCCCGTCCACCACAGCCTCGACCTGCTGAGCTCCGGCGATCCGTCCACCTCAGCCTTCCAAGGAGCTGGAACTACAGGCGTGTGCTACCACGCCCGGCTAATTTTTGATTTATTGTAGAGATGAGGTCTCACCAAGTTGCTCTGGCAGGTCTCGAACCCGCGGACTCAGGCAATCCTCTCACCTCAGCCTCCCAAGGCACGGGATTACAGGCTGAGCCACCGAGCCCGGCGAGCATCATTTCATACCTTCATTGATTATTCTGTTCTTCTGTGACTTGCCTGTTCATATCCTCTGCCCATTTTGAAAAACAAATTGTATTTGTTATTATTTGTTAATATATTAATAACTTGTAAGAGTTATTTGATATTACTTGTGATATTAGCCCTTTGTCTTTGCATAATATTTGATTACCAAGGACACTTATTGTTGCATTTTACACTCTTAAATGAAATCCTGCTGTGAAAATCCCTTCAGTTTACAGTCAGTGATACTGTATGAAGATTATTAAAAGCAATAAATGGACATGTTTCATATAATTTAAAAACATTAGAGAAATGGGCATTAGTTAAACATTTATTTATAAGGTAACTTGTTCTTTATTAGTGGAGAAGTTGTCACTTTTCTTCCCTAAGCCAAGGAATGAGCCTAGGTCTGAAGCAACGGTCCCCTTGCCCGACTTAAAAAAAGTTCTGTGATTAGAAAGTAGTCCTAGTTTTAGTAGAAAGCGTAGGACGGATAGTTTGTTTTTAGTTTTATGATTTTACTGCTTAACATCAGGCTCTACATTTAATCTTTCTACCTAGAAAAGTTAGACATATTTGAATTTTTATACGAAATTAATTAATGCTTTGAAGTACTTCTGAACTTAGCACATAGGTCAACTTTGTTGGATAATTTTGGTGGAAGCTGTTTTAGTCTCTTATTTTGTGTGGGTTAGCCCTTAGTTGCTCATAATTCTGGTACATATGGAATCCAATGAAAGTGTATTTTAAATATATATGCATAGTCAGACTTGCTATAAACATTGGGATTGTTAGAGAAGGAAGACCTCTGGATCAGAAGTTGCAAATTGACAGCCCACTGGATATATCTGTTCCACAGACATTTTCCTCGTAGTTTAAGAACTATTTTGAACTAACTGCTAATGTTTGAAAATGGAGAGGTTTCTCTTGAAAAATATAATTTTGGCAGTAATGGACTATATACATGTTAGCCATGAATTGTAACTACATAGTGGCTATTACTTTTATAAAGGATAAGTGTCTCCAATTTGCCACAAGTCCTGCCATTCTTTAATGTGTTACAGTTGGCCTACTTCAATCACAAACATAATGTGTGCTATGTAGATGGCCTTTTTCATTTGTAGGCAAATAAAAATATAAAAAGGCAGATATGTGAAGAAATCCCTTAATTCTTTTCATAAATAAATTCAGCACATCAAAAGCTTCTTTTTTTTTTGTTTCTTTTTCTGGCATGTTCATCTCCATAAAAGGTGGTAAGAAATACACAGACATTAAAGTAAACATCCCAGAGATATCAACTGTCTTCTTCAGAACTTTTCCCAACAAACCATTCCATTGGCTGGCAAAAAAGATGATGACTGAACAACAGACTTATAGTTCCTGAAGTTCCACTATCTTACGCTGTAATTTCCTTAGGTCTTTCTGTAATTTATGTTTCTCTAAATCCATCTTTGTTTTCTGTATTTGTTGGAGGGAGGTCAGAGAGTCATGAATCGATTGAAATCCTGGGAAAGGAGATGAAGGTAGGTATATTTACACAATGCATTGAAACTTTAAAAAAAATAAAATAAAAGTTACTGATCAACAGTCCTGCCATAATTGATTATCATTTAACTTAAAGCATATGAAATTCTGCTAAGACTGGTCTAAAAATGTACACAATCCATTTTTTGTATGTCATGAAGATGTATTAGCAGTAGTGGTTCAAGCAGTAGCTGATATCTAATTGTTTTTCTTTCCCTCTCCCCAAATTTACATTGCATGAAGAAATAATTCTGTATTTCAAGAGAGAAATTTTAAATTTCTTCTTCTTTTCCTTTATGCTTTGACAAGAGATTCGTGTGATTTTTCTTTCTTTAAATTCTTGTTACCAAATTGAAGAGGAAGACTGTATATGAGATCTTCAAGCTTCTCTGAAAATACACTACCCCAAAGATCTAATGACCTCACCTGCTGTCTCCCTCCCTCCCAGCACTTTGTATCTCTCTTATGCACAACTAGTCACTCATGACCACAGACCTACCAGACCTCAAGCTTCTTAGGGAACAGCCTATTTCACTGGGAAATTTCACATAGTCTTTTCTCAACTCATTATTATTAAAGACGTAAGGGAGCACACCACTAATTTGGAGTGCTCCTTTGCTAGAACTCCATGGATTTTGCTAGAACTCCATGAAGAAACATGAACACTGTCAATTCCTCTTCAGCTCATCCTGAATGCTAGTGGAATGAGTAAAATTAAACCTCTGATTGTTAAGTAAAAAGAAAGGTCTTTAAATGAAGGGTGAGCTAAGTTTGGGACGTGATTGCTAGCCAGATAACTTGCTGTTTTGATATGGTAGTGGGAGGGGTTAGATTTCTATGCTAGCATAGAAATCTGGCAGAATGGCACCATGATATCCTCCCAAGACATCTCCAAGGTGTCTCTATACAGGACTAAAACTTGGTAGAATTTATACCTGAGTTGTTCTGAGATCTAGAAGTCAGAAGGAGGGTTGAGGCTTTCTCTAATAAAGAAACCCTCTGGTCCCTGTAACTCAGAATCATGACTTGAGGCAGATGGCTGCTCCACAGCGCCTATCCCATGTCCTTCCCTTTGACAAATTGGATGAGCCTTTCATATTAATCCTCTTTGATGTGAGCTCAGCTTGACACTGCTGCCATTAGCCTCTTAAGAAGAAAAGCAGTCATTACACTGGACTCTGCTAATTCATCTCTCTCTCTCTCACTTTTAAAGGTCAGGTCTTCAATCTGACATCTGTCCAGGCTTATTACCTGCAGTTCAACGAGAGGGACATTTGATTTAGGCTCCTAATTTCATAATGTACCCACAAGTCAGGTCTTGGTGATCGCCAAGGACTTTCTAAGTCTCACAAGTCCATATTCTGTGATCTTAGAGAGTAACAAAGCTCACAGCAATGGCCTGTGACATTGCCAAGTGTGAATGGAAAAAGTTAACTTATTTACATACCTTCTAGCACAATGCTCACAATTCCACAGGATATTTTGTTCTAGCAAAATATATATATTCATATACCAAAGGATATCACTAATGATAAGACTGATCCCTGGCCATTAGGTCAAAGTATAAGACTCTGAGGGATTGGACAGAAAAGGACAGATGTTCTTACTTAATCAAAGGTATCTGCTCACCTGACTGATACTCATTCTGCATTTTCTCTAATTCACCCCAGATCTGTTTTTCCATTTGATTCATCTTCTTGGTCAATTTATTTTCTATGCGTTTTACTTTGCTTAGTTCTGCTTCCTGTTTCTCTGTATTGATGAAATTCTCAAATTTGCTTGAAAGCTGCTGCAATTTTTCTCCTATTTTATTTTCAGACTTTTCCTGTAAAACAGATCATGTCATAAAACTGTAGAAAAGAAGACTTTTGTGGATTTATATTTCATTTTAGAGAAAATGTTTTTGAAACATTTATTTTTCCATGTGAGTCATGAAAATTCAAGCCAAGCTCCCTTGTCTAAAACTGAGCTCATAGATGTAAGAGTTCATACCTTAGTTTGGCTTAGTTCATTTGCAGTTTCTGGAATTCTACAATGTTATAAAAGAAAAGGTCTGTAGTTTTGCTGAAATGCCTGGAGAATTTGGAATTTTAGTCTAGGGTTTAAAGAAGTGTAGCAAAGGAAGACATGTTAGATACCGCTTTCCCTGAGCTCCTTGGACATGCACCCTTGAACTCACATCTCTGTGTGGACAGTCTTCAGCGAGAATAGTGAGTGCCTCCTCATGCCAGCAGTTTATTTGAGTCACCTGGACAATACACCACCCCCAGAAATTCTGATTTCAGTGGTCAATGATGGTGCTCAGGAGTTAAGATAGTGGACAAGCTCTCCAGGTGATTCTAATGTGCTGCCGGAGTGGGGACTACACAGTGGCAGCCTTGGGTAAATTTGCTTTTCTCCCCATTTCCCCACGGGGAATTTGGAGCAGGAACTGGGCACCACTGGCATGGCCCCTTTGACTCGCCCCTTTTTGGCCCCACCTGCCTCAGAAATGTTGGATTCCAGTCTCTCTCTTCCTTGTGGTGGGAGGTTTCTGCCTGCAAGTTAGGACCATGGTGGTCACCCAGTGCTGCCTATACCTGGAAACCAGTGTTGATTGTTGGTCTTGAGCAGCTGCAGTCCTCACCACACATACTTCAACAGCATTACCAGTGATAAAACTGCTATACCCAACTCTTGGATTCCTTTATCAGTTGTTAACAGACTCAGGTGGGGATTGGGGACATTACTGACTGAGTTACCACTGCCTAAATCTCCTCTACCTAATCCTAGTGCCTTGCGAGGCCTAGATGGGAGGATCACTTGAGGCCAAGAGTTCAAGACCAGCCAGGGCAAAATAGCAAGAACCTATCTCTATAAAAACATCTAATGTTTAAAAAATAAAAAGTGTTAAGAAACATCTCATTTGAATCACCTATAAGACTGGCAGCCACTGACTGCAGCAATGGCCCTGAACTACCCTCTCCATTTAGTCAGTGTTCTGGTTGCAGTTAAAAAAGGGAGCCCTAAACTAAGCTTGTGGCTATCTTTACATGATCTTACTTGGAAAAGGAGTTTGGAAAACCTTTAATCTACTAACAGATTTCTGGAAAGGTCAAATGACTTGTCTAAGCAGAAGTGTTCAAGCTTTCTTGTGCCTATGTTTCACCCAGGGGGTTGTCTATAACACTGATCCCAGTAGAGGCCCCCAGAGAGTCAAACTCCCGAGGTCTAGGGTGGGAATCTGGTTTAAAAAAAAAAAATCTCTTTAGTTTGTTTTGGTACAGGTAGAGTACACTCTGAAAAACATAGGTCCACAGAGTTGGGGAGTACTAAACGACCAGAAGACAGGCCTCTGGGCTCCCAGTGTGGTGCTTAGAAAAAAAAGTTACTAACACAGTGATGGTTACTGTAAATGTTGAAGTGTGGCCTTCTAAATCTTTCCTCATTGTGACACCCAGATAATAAACACATAGCTGTTTACTCCATGAAATAACAGAGCTCCTCACCAGTTTCTCCTGCAGGACATTCAGACACTCATTGATATGGTCCAGGTGGTCTTTTCCATATTTGATGAACTGGTTTTCTGTCCATTTTTGATTACTCTCAATTTCTTCATACAGATTACTTGAAAGTGAATTAAACCTAAGGGGCAAAATATTTTGTTTTAATAAGTGAACTTCAACATAAAACAACCTTTAGCATTGAAAAGCCTGCAGTTTTTTGGGATGACAAGACTCCATGTGGCTAGCCAAGTACTTGCAGGGTGATGGGTGAGTACACTCCAGCTTCTGTCAACACCCCTTCTGCAAACCCTGAAATAAATATGCACACAGTGACAGGAGCACTGTCAGCTGGGAGCTGACCACAGCCACATAGAAATGCATTGTTATCCACGCGGAATTCTCAGGGCCTGGCTCATTGTTTGTGTGTGGAGGAAATACTTTGGTAAGTCCACCTGGGCTGGGTGGTATTACTCTGTAGTTGGGATCTGCAAAGGTTTTCTGCAAAAGGCCAGATAGTAAATAGGCATTGTGGACCATATGGACTATGCTGCAGTCACACAACGCTGCATTGTGGAAGGAAAGCAACCACAGAGAATATGTAAACAAATGAGTACGGCTACATTCTAATCAAACTTTATTTATGTAACTGTCACATGTTGTGAAACACAATTATTTTATTTATTTTTTGAGTCAGTGTCTCACTCTGTCACCCAGACTGGAAGGCAGTGGCACGATCATGGCTCACTACAACCTCGACCTCCTGGATTCAGGTGATACTCCCACTTCAGTTTCAGAGTAATTAGAACCACAGGCATGTGCCACCACGCCCAGCTAGGTGTGTGTGTGTGTGTGTCTCGAGATGAGGTCTCACTATATTGTCCAGGCTGATCTCTAACGCTCCTGCCTTGGCCTCCCAAAGTGCTGGGATTATAGGTGTGAGCCACTGAGCCTGGGTTTGTTTGTTTGTTTGTTTGTTTGTTTGTTTGTTTTTGAGTTGGAGTCTCACTCCATCTCCCAGGCTGGAGTGCAGTGGCACCTTCACGGCCACCCCAGCGTCAACCTGCTGGGCTCCGGCCTCAACCTTCCAAGTAGCCGGAACTATAGGCATGTGCTACCACACCTGGCTTGTTTTTGGTTTATTGTAGAGATGAAGTCTCATCAAGTTGCCTGGACTGGTCTCCAACCTCCGGGCTCAGGCAATCTACTCACCTTGGTTTCCCAAAATGCTGGGATTATAGGCTGAGCCACTGTGCCCCGACAAGCCTGGCATATTTTAATTTTTTAAAAACTTATTGAAAGTGTAAAAGCAATTCTTAGCTGTGGGCAGATGTGGGTAAGGGTGATAGTCTGCAGCCCCTTGCTCTACAAATGCCACTGAGACTAGAAGAGGAGCAGGGGCAGAGAAGACCTGAATTGTCTAGCAGAGAAGAGAAAAGTCACAGGCACGAGGGTAGGAGAAAGAGTTCGAGAAGGACCTGGAGAAAGCAGTGTCCAAAGGGGACTTTAGGTTGCTTTTGTCTCAGGTGAAATCTTCAATAAGGTCCCCATTCCCACCAACGGGTCTATGGGAGTGGCTTACTATTGGGGTGTGAGGGTGCTTAAAGAGGCACTGAGTTACACATGTGGGGCAAAAACAGAAGTGATAGAGGTTGTAGGAAGGGACCTATGGGACCCATCAAGATGATGCACCATCAGAGTATTAAATAACAGAGAAGAAAGGGGTTTTTTTTTTGGTTTGTTTTTTTAAATGTGGGAGTGGATGATACCATCGATTTGAAAAGAGTTGAAATCATTGCCATCAATCTAAAAAGTCACGGTAAGGTGGCTGAGGGTTTGAGCAGAGAGGGGCCTTCACAGCTGAAATGTCTAAGAGGAATGGAATTGAGTGGAGGTGGGATGAGGATGGAGACTCATGAGTGGTTTCTGTATCAGTTGTCTGTGTGTGGCTTGCTTGAGGTAAGATGTCAGTTTCAAATTCCCTTTTATGGGGGGGCACCCCGAAAAACCTCGGAAATTATAAAAACTTGTGTATTTATTTGTATATGTTTAAACTTCAGTCACCTTCAAAGTACTCTCCGTATGACACAATACACCTGTCGAGATGCTTTTTCCATAGCTCAGAACAGTTTTTGAACTTGTCAGTTTGGGTGCCTTTTAATGTTCCTGCCATTTCTTGTTTCACTTCTTCCATATCAGTAAAACATTTTCCCTTGAGGACTTTTATCATCCAGGGAAACAACAAAAAAGTTGCTCAGAGTGAGATCAGGTGGATAGGGAGGGTAGGGCATGGGGGTTATGCCATTCTTGGTCAAAAACTGCTGCAAACTCAGTAAGGTGTGGGCAGGTGACCTCATAAGTCACCCATCATGAAATGGGCAAATGTACTGGAAGAATCTCCAAAAAGAAATTCACTGAAGCCAAACACAGCCTCTCACAACAATGCTAGCTAGTACACTGATGCTGATGGGTTCCCTAGAACACTTACTCAGCAGGGGAAGCCTGTACTACAAGAAGTCTGCCCTTCAAAAAATAATTCTGCTTTTTTGGGGGTTCTTCCTCATAGTATAGATAGGAACAATGCAAATGGTTATTAAAAATATTCAGATTAGGCTGGGCATGGTGGCTCATGCCTATAATCCCAGCAGTTTGGGAGGCCGAGGTAAGAGGATTGCCTGAGCCCATGGGTTCAAGACTGGCCTAGGCGACTTGATGAGACCTCATCGCTACAATAAATCAAAAAATTAACTGGGTGTGGTGGTGCGTGCCTATAGTTCCAGCTACTTGGAAGGCTGAGGTGGAAGAATCGTCTGAGCCCAGCAGGTCGAGGCTGCAATGGCTGTGAGTGTGCCACTGCACTCTAGACTGGGCGACAGAGTGAGACTCCAACTCAAAAAAGATTTTTTTAGACTACCTTAAATATTTGGTACTTACAGTTAAATTAATCATTACTCTGATGTTTTCAGACAAAATTATATACAGATAATTTATTTTATTTATTTTTGAGTCAAGGTCTCACTCTGTTGCTCGGGATGGAGTGCAGTGGCAAGATTATGATTCACGGCAGCCTCAACTGCCTAGGCTCAGGCATTCCTTCAGCCCCGGCCTTCCAGGTAGCTGTGACTACAGGCATGCACCACCATGCCTGACTACTTTTTAAAAAATCTTTTGTAGAGATGCAGTCTCACAGTGTTGCTTAGGCTGATCTTGAATCCTGGGTTCATGTAATGCTCTTGCTTTGAGCTCCCAAAGTGCTGGGATTACAGGTGTCAGCCACCACATTCAGCCTTATAGTATAATATCTAAATTCTGATCCTCCTCCCCTTTGAATTCTTACATTATTTTTATACAGGGAGATATTGTCACATAGATATGAAGTATATCTTGATTCCATGCTGAGTACTTCAACATCGAAAAAGATGAAGTTGGGTTCTCTTCCTGTTCTTAGTCTAATCATACCATCACTTGTGCCACTGGTTCACAGCTGCTGGATCTCAGAAAATAACTCATATGCAGACTACCTCATTTCAGCCAATTGTTTCTTCTTTCTGGAATACTCTTACTCAGAATATCCAATGGCTCCTGCCCTCATTTCATCCAGATTTATGCTCAAGCACCACCTTATCCCAGAAGCCTTTTTTATTTGTCCACCCTAAAAAAACCAAAATCCAAAACAAAACAAAATAAAAAACAGGATCTCTTCTCCTCACTTGACACTTACCCAACTTTTTCTCCAAAATGCTCATCACCATGTGATATATACTAATTTGTGTGTTATTTCCTCCACTAGAATGTAAACTCTATGAAAATAAGGATTTTGCATTGTTCATGGGTGTGAACAATGCCTGGAATATAGTAAGCACTCAATAAATAGTTACTGACTAAATGAGCAGGGGGGCATTCTTTGTCATTAAAAACTTTTGATTAGGGTTGCTGAAAAATAACAAATCATAGACTTGTCAAGCTATTTAGAAAACTAATGTACCTTGATTTTCATCTTCCTTTTCCTATCTGGTGGAAGTATTAATTGTAATGGTTCAAGGGAACAGTAAATCCCCCAGATAATCAGGAGATGGCTTTACAATTGAAAATCTAGCCTTCAGTGCTCATGTCTACTCTGTAAATAAATGAGAGCACTTATTCTCTCATCACTGATACATTAACATTCCTCTGAAAACCAAGGAACCATAAATGTGCCCAAGTAATATCTCTGGAATAGCATGTCAGTAATTGAAATTCTGAAATTAAAATAAAGCCATAAAAATGAATTACTATTTATGATCTTTTTATTACAAGATTTGCCTGTAATTGGAAATGCATTTCTCTAGTAACAAACAGAAGTTGGACTCTGTTGGGAGCTTATTAAATGTGAAAGCATTTTTAAAAAGTAATCATCTGGATAAAGGAGAAATAAAACAAAGGTTTATGTAAGTCTTTCTCTTTGCTCAGGCTTTTTCCTAACATAATGGACTTGAATTGCCATAATTCTATTAATTTTAGAACTTAGTTAAAAATCTCAACAGTATGAATTTACCTTGGATGACATTTACATTTTCGTTCCCAAAACTTAATATCCTAATAGGTGTGAGAGTATTTCTATCAGATGTAGAGAGATAGATGATTGATTGATAAATATATAGATAGACCCTTTTCTTTTCTTTTCCTCAAAACACAAAAGTAAGACTTTAAAATTATGGTCAGAGACCTCACTGGGATGTTGAAAGCCACTATTTTTTGTTTTTTTTTTAATTTTTAAATTTTTAAATTTTCATGGAATCTAGTTTAAAATATACATCAAGGGGAACTATAAAAAAAAGTTACAAACAAGTAAAAGAAAGCTTCATGAACATCGGCAGACATGGCGGAAACCAGGGAAGAGAGTTGTGATGAGGGGAGAATGGTGAGAGAGCACCTACCATGGCCATGGCTGACACACATAAGTAAGTACATGGCTCCCCTGGCCAGTTGTACCAGTGTACTCATGTCCCAAACCCAGTGTCTTGACTTTAAAAATACATTAAGAGAAGATGTGAAAATTTTAAATTCTTAGAAACTGTTACTACTAGCAGTCTCTCAAGAATTAGAAGCCTTTGATGAGCTGGTTGAACAGAGGATAATTTCATCTTGTGTAATCATATTTGAAGAAGAGCATAAGAGAGACCATGTGCTATTATTTATTTGGAGATTGAGTCTAAGATGTAAGTTTCACATCAGAAGCCAGAAACTAATTTTGAGAAAATTGTTTTTCTACAAAGCTTGTATCTATAGGTGGAACTCTCTTAACTAATTTTTCCTTAAAACCTGTGATTTTTAATTAGGTGATTCTAAAAATCAATTCCGCCTCTACTCTGACAGGAAGACTTTTGTTTCTTGGCCATTCCATATTGTACTTGAGTTCAAATCCCAATATTTTCATAGCCTGCTTTCTGGTCACCCAAGCAGAAGTGGTCTTTCCCTTTTCTGAATTTCAGTGACATGATTAGTTTATCCTTTTGCGGGGAGTGGAGTCTCACTCCGTCCCCCAGGCTGGAGTACAGTGGCACATGCCATCCCAGCATCAACCTGCTGGGGCTCCGGTGATCCTTCTTCCTCAGTCTTCCAAGTAGCCGGAACTATAAGCACGCGCTACCGTGCCCGGCTAATTTTTATTTTAATTTTTATTTTAATTTTTATTGTAGAGACGAGGTCTCGCCAAGTTGCCTGGGCTGGTCTAGAACCTGCAGGCTCAGGCAATCCTGAAAATTAACTTTATTTCCCCCCTGCCCCTCATTTTAACTTTCTCCTGTGGCTGTGTTTTCAAAGTTGGATGATAAGATTTGAGTCCATGCATTTGTTTCCTTGACCAAATACTTTTCCTTTTCTTATAAATCATTGTCTACCAAACAAGCATCAGCAGTAAGAGCTGTCTAGGGAGTGACTGGCAGGTGCTCCACCTGCCAGACCTTTGTTAAAAGGCAGCTTTATTTCCTGATGGCTGATTCTTGCATTGTAAGCACTAAGTTGTTGGCTTAGAACATTATTTAGCTGAACATCTGACAAAGATCCTTCTGGAAGGAGGAGGCACAGTGGAGGGGTGCAACAGACATTTCCTTTCTCAGGTCTAGTGATCATTACCAAAACCCCTGGAATTCACTAGAAAAACCTCAGATGATACTGGAGATTCATATGCAACGTAAGTTTGTTGATTATTAGCTTGAATTTGTTCAAGTTTCTAAATGGGAAGCTTGCTTAATTAAATGTAATCTTTATGTATTTATTTATTATTAAGAGATGGCTATGTTGCCCAGGATGATCCCCAATTCCTGGGCTCAGGTGATCCTTCCATCTCACCCTCTGAACAAATGAGACTGCAGGCATGCACTACCATTCCTGGCCAAACTTAGCCTCTTTAATGTTATTAAAATGTTTTTGTTTAAAAATTAATCTCTTTGTTTAGAGACAGTTCTTTTTATTTAGAAAAAAGAAAAGCAAATTCTAGACCCTATCTACTCTAATTTTAAATTTATGCATATCTCAAAATTCTAACATCAGCAACAATTTATATACTTTTAAAAAAAGTTGTGGAACAGCTTATTCTTATTTATCAGAGTTAATCTTGCTGAAATCCAATATATTAGATTAAAGCAGACGTCCTCTGGTTGATTAAAAAAAAGAAGATCCCTACCTGCCTTGTTTTCTCTTTGAGCAAAATACATTTTCAATACATGTCAAGCTAAGAACAAATACCATACAGCTATATATTGAGCACCCTGATTGTGCTAAAATTTAAACGTAGAAATGCTTTCTCAGAGTATGTTTACTCAAAGCAACTACTCCAAGTTTTAGTGATGACTACTGTTTTCCAGTAATTTCTAGGACACATTTTCTAGGTTCCATTTTAACATCTCTGAAATCAAAAAAGTAACTTAAAATGATAGTTCACTGTGGTTTGAACATGCACTTCATGTCTTACAGGTATGAAAATATGATGGTGCATCTTATAGTCAATGGCACTTAGATTTAATAAAATAAGTTAGAGACAGAGAAAAGTGGAGAAGGCAGAATATTATTAGAATACTGGATTTTATGAAGGCATTAAATCCAAGTGGTGTGGGATACACAGGAAAAAAAAAGAGTACAAAGGACAGTGAGTTAGTATTCAAGTGACTAGAATTTTCCTTTGCCTGTACTGCAGTCCTGGGAAATGGTGGTCTTTTAAACAAGAGAGAGAGATTTGAGAATAAGGAAGCCAGTAATTTGAGTATTTGGGGAGCCCTATCTTTACTGCTTTCTCCATTGAGCAGGGAAAAAAAATCAGTTTAAGATAAAATAGAAAATCTCAAAAGGGGATAATGTAAAAGAGTAAATCGAGGGTGTTAAAAGAAATCTTAAAGAAAAAGCTTGTAAATCAAATTGTTTTTAAAAACATTTTACAATCTTAGGGACTCTGTTTGTATTCAACAGTGCTTTACATTGAGGCATTTTAATATACAATTGGTGATAAGTGACAATTACTCTATAGGAAGGATTGGGAGGAGTATTTCAATTCAGTTGAGATACACAAAGAAATTGACAAGATTAATATTTTATTTCTTCTTTTATCATAAATATTTAATAAGTTATTTTAGGTAGAATATTATCTGCTTTGGTTTGCTGACTTATTTCTTGGCCAGGTTCAAATTCCTAGGATAGGTTTTTCTTTAATGCTAATATATTCACCAGGCAAAACTATTTGGAATGCATTTAACAGAATCAAAAAAATTTCCTAATCACTTACTTGAATTCCAGAAGGCTCATTTCATGGCGATAATCCCCCTGGACCATCTTTAAATTTGAGGTTTGCTCAGAACCGGCAGTCTCTATCTTTCCTAAGAGCTGTGTTACCTAATAAAAGTATAAGAGGGAGCTTTTTTTGTCTGTGAACAAAACCTCCAGTGTTTACATTAATTATACTTTATTCCTAAAGAAGCTAGGAAACAAACTTGAATCCAAGAACACAATTTTGAATTTGAAAATTATTTTCTTCAATTGAGTGTTATTCGCAGATATAGTTATACTGTCTTTGGGGAAAGAATGATAAAAGGTGCCCCATTTTGTTGTCTATCATATACAAAAAAAATTTGTTTATGTCCAGCTCTTGTCTCTGTCACCCAAATGGGAGCACAGTGGCACTATCATGTCTCACCACAGCCTTGACCTCCTAGGCTCAGGTGATTCTCCTGCTTCAGCCTCTCGAGTAGCCAGAATTAAAGGTGCACAACACCACACTTGGCTAATTTTTTGGTTTTTCTGTAGAGATGAGGTCTCATTATGTTGCCCAAGCTGGTCTCAAATTTCCTGACCTCAAGCAGTCCTCTTGCAGCCTCCCAAAGTTCTGGGATTAAAAGCATAAGCCACCATGCCCGGCTGTCTATCATATTCTTTTTGACCACAGACTACCTCATGATATAATAAAACATATTATTATTAATTTATTAACTTGTTAATTTGATTATTTCTTTACTTTCTGTCTCCCTAGTTATAACGAAAGCTGCTATATGCTGTCATCATCATATCCTCAGGGCATATTCGGTTACCGATGGTAAGTGCTCAACAAATACTTATTGAATAATTGTTTAAATACACATTCAGCCTCTGTGGAAAACATATATGACTGGCCTAAGATTGTGTGTCAGAGATTTCCAGATGGTATTCTGACATGAGTACAAGGGTATCCTAATAAAAATAAGTTTCAGTTCTGGAGTTTAAGATTGGATTACCTTCCAAATTGCCAGAAACACTGAGGAATTTCTTTTAGGTAAAAGAATGGATTGAAAAAAGATAAGAATTGCAGCCCATAGTTGTGCCTCAGCTAATCACTGTTAAGGATAATGAAACAACATGATTGGCCTGGGTCAAAGAGAATCCAACTCCTAACATTTAATAAAATCTGGGTTATCTTAGGAAGGAAAGAGGTGAACAATGGAAAGGTTTGAACAGACAGATGTTGAGTGAGTAACCAGTAGCACCTGAATTGCTATTTATAGGAGTTACACTTAAGACAGGTTAAAGGCAGCAATGTCCAAAATACAATCACAGTATATATATGCCTGGTAAAGGCAAGAGAAAAGAAAACAGGCAGAACCATATTAATGTTAGTTAAAATGTGATGCAAGGCAAAAAAAAAAATGTTTAAAAAATGGCACAAAGATGGTCATTGTTATAGATAGAATAAACTCCACAGTAAAATAGAGAGCTTTGAGCTTTTATTTACTTTATGTATTGAATGGAAAAGTAGCAACCTTTTAGGATAAACTAACAGAGACAATATATTAGTGGTTTTAATGATTTTTTGACTCTTTACCAGTTAAATAAGTAAAATATAAATAATAATATAGGAAGTTATGAAAAACATACATTTATTTCATAGATTCATGCCAAATTATGTAACCTGCAAACAGCAAACACTCATCCTTCCCCAGTGTCCCCATCGAGCATTTGCAAAAAACTCAGCACTCATACAGCTAAAAAGAAAATCTCAAATCTCGAAACACAGGAAAAGCACTGTCCATAACCCTAACTACATTGCGCTGAAACTAGAAATTAATAAGAAAAGTATAAAGAAACGAAAATCTAGTCACTTGAATAAAACAATCCAGAACACTCTTAATTCTTTTTTGTTTTTGTTCTTTTGAGTTGAAGTTTCACTCTATTGCCCAGGCTAGAGTGCAGTGACACGATCATGACTCACTGCAGCCTCCAACTCCTGGGCTCAGGGAATCCTTCCACCTCAGCCTCCCGAGAAGCTAGGACTACAGGCATGCACCACCACACCTAGCTAATTAATTTTTTTCTTTTTTTGAGAGATGAGGTCTCGCTATGTAGCCCAGGCTGGTCTCAAACTTCTGGGCTCAAGCAATGCTCCCACCTTGGCCTCCCAAGGATTATAAGAATGAGCCACTGTGCTGGGCCACACTCTTTTAATTCTCGTGTTTCACATGAAAATGTGCCTCTCAGATATCCTACTACAAGGAGCATAATTGACCAAGGGCCTTGACTGCTGTGCTCAAAAGTCATCACTATGTGTCCAGACCATGCTTCTCCAGGATACTCTCAACCAGTGTCTGAAAAGAATTTCTTTGATGGGAACCAAGGATCTTGACAAAATGATCTTAGAATAGCATTGCAGCCCAAGTCTTTCTTTCCTCATCTTTTGAACAGAAATCTGACCTGTATCACAATCTAAAGAACTCCCTTCCCATTTTTCCTCAGAAGTTTTCACCTCAATAAATCTCTTGAACACCAGATTTCTTCATTGCATGTGCATCTCAAAGGATCTGGACTAACACAAGTGTCAAAGGGTAAATTGACACTGCAATTATAATTTACATAGGAAATGATAATGAAAACATGATATACCAAAAGAACACAGACAAATCTATCATCCGAAGTTAATCTGTGGCATTAAATATTTTCATAATTATGCAGGAAAGAATGAAGCTATGTAAATTACCCATTCATTTCACAAAGTTAAAAAAAGAATAACAAAGCTAACCAGAGGAAAGCAGAATGAACAAACTGACAAATTGCCACCAGTCAAATGGTCCCACAAAGACATCCATGCCCTAATCCTGGAACCTGTGGATACGTTATGTTACAGAGTAAAAGGAATTTGTAGTTGTAATTAAGTTTACAGATTTTAAATTAGGTGATTATTCTGGATTATCCTAGTGGGCCTAATTTAATCACATGAGCCCCTAAAAGCAGAGAACTTTCTCCAAGTGGAATGAGAGAGATACAGCAGAAGGTGAAGTCAGAATGGCTTGGAATATGAGATGGACTTAACCTGCTGTTGCTAGCGATTGGTCACATAGCAAACATGAGAAGGAAGGCTGGCGGTCTCTAGAGCAAAGCCACCCAGCTGACAGCCTGCAAGGATCTCTGTCCTACAACCGCAAGAAAATGAATTCAAAGCTTGAATGAGCCTGAAAGAGGATTCACCCCCAACCCCCTAACCACCCCCTCCCCCACTAAGGACACTTCGATTTGTGTCTTGTGAGACTTTGAGTAGAGGTGCCTGTCAAGCCTGCCCAAACTTTTAACCTACGGAAAGTATAAGATAATATATTTGTATGTTGTATTAAAACACCATGCTTATGACAATTTGTTGTAGCCGTAAAGGAAAACTAATACACAAAACATTTTAAAAATTAATGAATAAAAATCAAATTTTATGGTATTACTATGTAAATCCAAGGACTGGTTCTTTGAAAAGGTAATAGACAAAGTTTGATCTACTCTAAACATGAAGAAAAGAGAGGAAAAATAATTATTAAAAGTAGAAATGAAAAAAAGTGTAGTTATGATTATTTATGAGCCAAATAGCATAGCAGAAACATTCTCAAACCTGAAATTATAGGTGAAATGGAAGCCAGGTAATTATAGGAGACTTTAATTCACGCTTTTCAATATAAGACTAAAGAAGTACACCAAAAAATAAGTAAAGATCAAAAGACTTTAACCAGGAAATTATTTCTTAAAGACACTGACTAAACTTTGTACCCTAAAAATATAGAATGCACATTCTTTTATAACATGTACAAAAATAGATTATTCATTTACCAAAAAATCCTCAAAATATACCCCAAACTAAAACTAGTATGCATGAAAAATATTACTTACAATGAGATGAAACTAAAAATGAATACCAGCAAAACAAACAAAAAGCTCTTAGTGCAGAGGGGAAAAAACTCCTCCTAACTGTTTAATCTAAGGGAAAATACAGAACGCAATTGCACAATTTCTAAGAAACAATATGAGGATACTAAATATCAACCCTGGGGTACATAAGGATAAAAGAATAAATGAATGCTCAGGGAAAATTCACAATCATAAATGATTATATCAACAAAAAGAATATAAATACATATGGTTTTAGAACGTAAAATAATAAGCAACAAACACTACGAGGAAAGAAAATTAATAAAGATAGAAGCTGGAATTGGTAAGCTGAAAAACAAAATAGAAGAGCAACCCCCCCTCCACACACACACATTAAAAGAATGTTCCATTGGACTTCACAGCAACTTGGATGAATTTAGAGTTCATGATACTCATGATCTAGCACAGAAACAGAGTTGAGTACCACATGTTCTCACTCTTAAGTGGACCCTGAACATTTATCATAATAATATTACATGAAAGGTATTGGCAGGGGAGGGAGGGAGGGGGGCATATAACACTAGTAAGGGTAACTGATCCCAAACCAGGCGAAGTGAGGACCAATGGGAGACCCAAATTGCACCTGTATGATGACCACTTATGTACCTAACCCTGAATTGTACTCCATACCCTTAAAATTAAAAAAAAAAAATTGGTCCATTGGAAAACAAATAATATAATTGTTAAGGCAAAACTAGACTAATCAAGGGAGAAAAAAAAAGCACAAATATACCAAATAATTAAATGGTAAGAGGAAATAAATGCCAGCACAGAAAATGAAAGCTATCCTAAAAGCATTTTGCATAACTTTATGCAAATACAAAATCTGAAGGAAGTAAATATTTTTCCAAGAAGATTAATATACTAAAGCTAATCTCCAAAGAGATAGAAAGTTTAAGCAGACCAATTATCATATTTAAAAAATCAAAGATATCAAAGGACTTCCTTCCCCACCAAATCATCAGGCACAAATTGTTTCAGAGGCAAGTTACCAAATTCTTAAAGAAAATGTAATTATAATGCTCTTTAAGCTGTTTTTGAGCATAGAAAAAGATGGAAAGCTTTCAAATTATTTTTATATACTTGAAGTTAGTGCAATGTTGACTAAAAAATCTGGAAAAGATTGCACAAAAATAGGTTAATCTCACTTACAAACATCGATGCAAAAATTTTAAGTAAAATAT